GCAGGGGAGCGGGGCTGGGGCTCGTCGGGACGGCACGGACAGGGCTTACCGTGCCAAGGAGCAGCGCAGGTCGCTGTGAAGGTCTCAACGACAGGAAGAGCAGCCCTTAGCCTGCGTGTTCGGTGGTGGGCTCAGAGGTGTTGTCTTAGTTTAGGAACAAGATCTTTGACATTGAGTTACGCCCTCTAATTCAGTGCTCGGCTGCAGCGAAGGAAAACAAATCAGCTAAGAGGCGTTAGGAAAGGAGAAAGGAAGAACATCGGGAGCCCAGGAGCTGAGCGTCCAGGCTGTCCGCGTTTCAGGGACACTGGGACCCATCTCAGAAGGGACAGAGCAGGACTGGGACAGGTTCTGAGAAGAATGGCAAGGGCATAGAGACATGGAAACTTGCTTATGAAGCACTGCCTGTTCCTGGGCTCCTCTCCAGGTCTACGCCACTGGAGACAGGACCTGATGGTCTGTCCATGGGGGTTCCTAGGGAGAGAAGAAGCCAAGTGACCTAGGGCTGATGTGTGACCACAGCACAGCTTGCTTTCTGGTGGGATGACCCGGCACAAGCGATGGGCACCTTTAATTCAGCTAAAGGGCTTTAGGGACTGGGGTTTGGGTTGGCAGCAGGGCTGGGCTTGCAGCAGAGTGATGGCTCAGAAGCTGCTCTGATGTCTCTTGTACCTGCTGGGTGCTCAAGAACAGAGGTGGCTCTGGAAGCGCCTGGAGGAACCCACTCCCCAGGAGATTTCTTCATCTGATGGCCAAGTTGTGCTGCAGAGCTGGGCTGGATGCACAAGCGATGGCAGAACTCAACGACGCAGGGGCAAAACCGCTGGGACCCTCGACAGCCTTTCCCCGAGCGCTGGCCTTTGCAGGTAGCAAAAATACAGCACCCTGCACTAGGGAGGAGAAATACACGGGGATGGGGGGTTGTCCTTTGTCATGAATGAGTGGTTGAGGTCGCTTAAAGGATCACTCAAAGGTTTTGCAAGAAAAGATTTTACTGAAAATGTGATTTTACAGAGTTCGTTGGCGAGGTTCACTCTATTACTTCTTAAACGAATGGAATACAAAATCAAAGGGGGGTTGGAGTAGAAAATGATTTATACAGAGTGGAAGAAAAGTGTAAGGGGGTAGGGAGAGCGTCCCCAGGTCCGGTCTGGAGCCCCTCGCTTTCTGAACTCCTTCTCGGAGGGGAGCCTGGGTGCGGCTGGATCCAGAGCCGGCTTCAGACCACACCGGTTCATGTCTAAGGAATACGCTCAGCAGCAGCTCGGGCTGTGCTCACCGTTTAAAGAGAGAAAGAGAATCAGAGGAATTTTGCAGCTATCAGTCATGGTTTAACTTAGCATTTGCTGCCAAGAAAGCCAATGGGATCCTGGGGTGCATCAAGAAGAGTGTGGCCAGCAGGACGAGGGAGGTTCTCCTTCCCCTCTACACTGCCCTGGTGAGGCCTCATCTGGAGTACTGTGTCCAGTTCTGGGCTCCCCAGTTCAAGAAAGATGAAGAGCTACTTGAGAGAGTCCAGCGGAGGGCTACGAGGATGAGGAGGGGACTGGAGCATCTCCCCTACGAGGAGAGGTTGAGGGAACTGGGCTTGTTCAGCCTGAAGAAGAGAAGGCTGCGAGGGGACCTTATAAATGCCTACAAATATCTGAAGGGTGGGTGTCAGGAGGATGGGGCCAAGCTCTTTTCAGTGGTGCCCAGTGACAGGACAAGGGGCAATGGGCCCAGGCTGAAGCACAGGAAGTTCCGTCTGAACATGAGGAGGAACTTCTTCCCTCTGAGGGTGACGGAGCACTGGAACAGGCTGCCCAGGGAGGCTGTGGAGTCTCCTTCTCTGGAGATATTCAAGACCCGCCTGGACAAGATCCTGTGCAGCCTACTGTAGGTGACCCTGCTTCGGCAGGGGGGTTGGACTAGATGACCCACAGAGGTCCCTTCCAACCCCTACTATTCTGTGATTCTGTGATTCTGTGATTTACTGAGTGAGTAAAAAGAATTTGCTCTTACAATCACAGTAATAGAATATTATGTTTTGAATCGATTCGCACGCACACGCAGAGGCCATCGTAAAAATTCCCCTCGAGTTCAGCAAAATACTCACTTCAAAGCCAACAGTTTCTCAACGGGTGAAGGCTGAGTCTCGAGGCGATCAGCCCAAATCATCCGCGAGATGCTCGGCGGCGCATCCCGCTCCGAGGGAGTCACTGGGCGCAGCCCGCTGTGGACCAGGAGATCTCAGAGGGTCTCCCTTGGCACCGCTGCTTGTAGGGTCTCGAGATGGTTGACCTTAGGCATCGATGATTTTCTGTCATGGTCACAACGTGATGCGATCCCGATATTTAGACAGAAACTACACAATTCCAGTACTACCCAGACTGTGTACCAGGCGGGTGCGACTCCAGGCAGCGGGAGATTCAGGGGTGGTCAGGGAGCGCCCGATCGCCCCAACTCACTGCTCTCGTACAAAGAGCGGGGAAAGGGCCAAGTCGTCCTGATTCACTGCTCTTGGAGCACACCAGCTGGCTCTTCTTGCAGCCTACGGAAGAACACAACGCTGGCTGGGTCTGGGCGTGCCCGGGATGGGGGGGGG